TAGACTATCACTCCCCCACACCAGATGGAAAACTCTACAGACTGTCGGTTCACACCCCATCACAAGCCAGCAAAACACCCACGAAACAAAGAAAGGTCTGTCACAAGCCAAAAAATACACTGCAGACACGCCGCTAGCACTAGAGGCACAACATGGCTGCGTAGTGACGGCCCTGACCACTGCCGCTCGACCTGACCGGAGAAAACCGTAGCAGGAAGCTAGCGAAGTCGTAGTATATATCGTCAAACAGAACTGCCCGGTAAACCGTAGGCAGAGAGGGAGAAGAGGACAACAAACGAGGGGCTAAAATATACATATTATGTTTATTGTATATAGTATTACATACCGTATTATAGGTATAATACATTAAATATTATTAGTAATTATATTGTTATTACTATTATATCACATCGGAAGACAACGAGGAGGTAGACGAATTGGAGGAGAAAGATAACGACGGGGAGGAGGAGGAGGAGGAAGACGACGTGGAGGTGGAGAAGATGTGGGAGGAAGACAACAACAGGGAGGAGAAGGAGGGAAATGACGACGAGGAGGCGGTGCAGATCAGGGAGGGCGACGATGCGAAGGAGCCAACGACGGGAAGGTGAAAAACTCCCGAGTTTTTTCCCGTCGTCACGCTGTCTTCCTCCTCCTCCTCCTCTCAAATGTCGTTCTCCTCATCGCCACCCCATCTTCCTCCTCCTCCCCATCATCGCGCCATCTTCCCCCTCCTCCTCCCTATCGTTCTCTTCCTCCTCCTCCTCCTCCTCCCCATCATTGTCTTCCTCCACCTCCTACCCGTTATCATCCTCCTCAAAGTGGAAAAAAAAGTTAAAAAAACAAAGCTGACGTGGCAGCGGGGAGGAGGTTGACGATAGGAAGGCCGCACGGGAGGAGGAGGAAGACAGCGCCATCTAAGGGGCACACACACACACACACCCCTGCGTTACCCCCCGACCCCACTCTGGACCCCACCCAGCCCCTGCGCCCACCCCCTAGCCAACGGGGCTAAACCCAGCCCTCAAACTGGCCCGCTACGACCACGTACGTGGGCCCCAAATCGAGTACGCGCGTACGTGCATACACGTATATGGCTTCTTTGTTGTTCTGTTGAGAGCACTAGGAATTTTTGCGCGATCATCACGCGGGAATACCGTTTTTGAATTTTCAACTGACGTCGAGCCCCCACGGGCTCGCGGAATTGTTTTTGGGCTCTTCGGAATTTCCTTTTTAGGACTTAGGCTAGGAATTTAGGTACTCTGAATTTTGCTGCGCCGCGCTTCTCACTCGCGCACATCTTGCGGCGCTGGGAACTGGGCTCTGACTGGATCGCGCCCTTAATCTTCTGTAACTGTCGTTTTTGGTGGGCGTGACTGTAAC